AAATATCCTAATGGGACTACGCCTTCATCTCGTTGCTGGCCGAGGACTGCTCCTGACGATCGATCAGATGCATCAGTATACAAAACGAATGGGGATGAGAAATCGGGGTGTGCTAACAACGGGGGGGTTGGATAATACTTCCTTAAATTTTATAAAACTTGCCTGGCAATTCTCATCCCATGAGAAGGGCTTTCCCTTTTTCGTCAACTCTGTTAGAGGTAATGCTAATTTGGAGAAGTTAGGGATAAAGTTCCGAAAAAACCCCACCATCCCCAAGAAACTACGAACGTCCCTAACATTCCGAGGTGGGTTACCTTTCTTGATAGCTTCTACATTACAAGGGTCCGGGTAGATTCCTTTTATCCCAATCACGTGGCCAAGGTATTTGATTTCTTCCACCCCGAACCTGCTCTTAGTAGGGTGGAGTTTCAGATTAGCGTCATATAATATTTTGATTACTTGATCGATGAGTCTTAAGTGTTCCTCTAGGGTAGGAGAGAAAAGGATGATATCGTCCTGGAAAACATAGCAGTTTACGCCTATGAATGGGGCAAGGAGGCGCGACATTCAGTACTGGAAGAAACTACCGCTATTTTTTCCTCCTTGAGGAATCCGTGTTAACTGATATTTAGCCCACGGCGTGGTGAAGGCGAATATGTGTCTTACCGCCGGGTCTAATGGGATCTGGAAATACCCCGACTTTAAATCAATTACCGAAAAATACCTACTCCCATGGAAGGTGCTTAGGATCTCGTCAACTCTAGCTAAAGGGAACATCTGGGGCTTCGTAATCTCATTGACCTTGCGCAAATCTAGGGTCATCCTGATTTCGCCTGAATCCTTCTTTACAATATGAATAGGGGAATTCCATTCTGAAGAACTCCTCTCTATAATTCCCGCCCTTAAGTAGGAATCAATCAACTTTTTTAGATCCGCCAGATAACATTGGGGTATACGGTATTGCCTGACATTGACTACACGGGTGGTGTCTATTTCGGGTTTATGGGTAAATAATTTTGTACCTTCTAAATCTTCGATCGATTCGGCAAATAGACCAGGATACCGGTTGAGTATGCGGGTTACTTGGTCACCACTATTCGACATAGGTGTTTCCGGAGATGGGGACTTAGACGATATCCTGCTACTCAAACATTCGACTGAGGACCTCAGCGGATTCTTCGCCGGCTTTGACAAAAATTCCTGCTTGATATGCTCGCTCGCACTGGCTATCAGGGAAGGGAACTGCTCCATGACATCCATCCCAATAATACCCTCATATTCTAACTTGGGGGGGAAACTCCATACAACAACAACGGATCGGGACTGTCATACCATTATAACTCACAACTAAACTCAAAAACTGATCACATTGCGTGATCACACCATTAATGCCCCTGATACTAGTTACTCTGTCGTTAGTCATGGCGCTGTTAATTTCCGGCCGACTCTTCCTGCGGATGAAACCCAAGTCGATCAGGGACTTCTCGGCTCCCGTGTCTATTAGAAATCTCAGGTTCCCGGTTCTCATGCTACCAATTATTAATGGGAGTCCCTTTTCAGACAACATAAATTTGGTCAGATTAACCACCGGACCAGGAACTCTATGCTGACCGTTGTGAAGTTCCTGTCCTAGTTTAAAGCATGGCTCTTATGATTTGGACTTCTACGGGCAAGATGATTCGGGCTATCGCAAATAAAGCACCGGCGGCCTGAATGGTCGCGCCTATCTGGACGGGTTTTGACTAGCTTCGTCACGACTTCGATAAGGGATTTCATACCTTTTTCTAAACTTGCTAAGCGATCGTCATCTCTGTGGAGCATCACAGGATTAGTGCTCTCTTTTCCCTCCTCACACTGTTGGTCACCGTGGGCATTGTAACCTATATTTCTAATCTCCCGTAAGCTACCACATTCTCTTTCTACGCGTTCCTCTCTCTCGGCCCATTCGAAGGCCTGTTCTAACGTCTCAGGTTCGTGGCGGCACACATGACAACGAATATTCTGATGTAGACCCCTAATAAATCTTTCCTTAATGGCGTCATCCTTGAACGAGACGACCGTACGATTTTCCTGGATGGCCCTGGACATTACTGTCTTTGTCCTAACAATATAATCGCTAATTAATTCTCTCCCTCCTTGCTTTATATTCAACAATTGATCCAAATGCCCTCTTTCTCTACCTTCATACCTCTCATAACATTTTATCAAATTCCGCTTGATTTCTCCGAAATCTGGCATGGGGGTTTGCTCTAACAAACACATAAACGTATTTAACGGATCTCCCTTCAGTTTAGCTTGTAAAACCGCAACTTTAACATCATCCCCCCACTTTGCTAGCCGCGCTACGTTATCCATCGTGCGGAAAAACTGAATTACATTAACACTATCATTCGGGGAATTTGAGAAGGTAGGAATCATTCCCAAAAACCCTGTAACCACAATGGGAAGATTCTCAAGTTTGACTCCTCCATTATGCTCCAAAACTTGCTCGTCCTGCTGGTCCATTACTGAATAAGATAAATATACAGCTACCTTAAATCTATACAATACTCAACTTCGAAGATCGATCTGAACGAGAGTTCTTTTTATAACGGGCATCCTGTCGCGGACGCCATTGTGAAAGGTTAAGGTTGTACGAGACAATTATTCCAACAAATACTAACTAAACAATAGTTTATTACAACCAGAATTAACAGGTAATACAGTGATGCCCGTCAGAGACACATACACAGATAGATATATATAACAAGTCTCTGTTCTCGTTCGGATTCTTACAATGAGTTGTTCTCACGATACGGATTCTAATTACTAACTTATAACTAACTAAACCTAACACCACACTAAGGAGAGGAAAATGAAGGAAGGAAAAGTATACTGGTATTTAGCACAGGAGGTCCTGATTGTGGTTTCTGATGATTGTGGGGATTTTGTCGATCGACATTGGAATATCCAACATTCCTGGTATGATAATTGTCACTTGGGTTTTGTAGACCACTATTTCTTATTGGGCAAGTCACTAGTCCTTCTCTTTTCTTTTAGGACTACTCGATACTCAGCACGTTCGGCTCGTTCTTTGTCCTCGAGGTCCGACTTAATGTCCCGACGATACTTTCGCGACCTCTTCTCTTCGTCGCCCGGGCAAAAAGTGTCTTTCTCACCCCTTTGTTCTCCTTCTGTACCTTACGGGCAGGGCCACTTCCTGTTCATGTTGATAAGCCACCAATCAGGACCCACGAATTTCCCGCTCCTGTCGGGTGACCGGAAATGGTCATTAGCAGAAAGAAGAAGAAGGAAAGGAAAGAACAAAGAATTCTAAATCTAAATACTATAACTATGTACATACAAAATGGCGGACAGCCACAATTCCATAATGACAATTGTAACATCTTGATAGCTAGATAGCTATAGCTGGCATCCCATCTAGTCTCACAAATGCTTGATGAATGATAAATTTGGATGTGGCAGCCAAAGAAGTGTGAAGACATTCTTAGGGAACCCTAGCTATTTATGGTCAAGCATTTTCTTGCTGTAAAATGACTGTTTGCAGCTCTGCTGTGAAAGCAACACATGAGAGTACAGGATTTCCTGAATGTACCACTGTACCATCAATGTTTTTTGAACTATTATTAAGGATGATTGACTGCCATATGAGATTGCTCCCATATAACAAGCACACCAACAGTAGGGAGAGTGTGCTGTTCAACAGTAAAAACAGGATTGAAGCACTCACCAATTAGACAGAATTGGAATTCGTATTTAAAGATAATAAACTGTCTATACTCCTATGTAATGGCATCATTGCAAATGAACCTGACAATCTTATGTAATATATAAGATCATCAGGTTGACACAAAGACAAATATGCACATATAATATATGTGTCACAAAAACAAGCTTGTGTCACAAAAAAAATACTTTGTGTCACAAAAACAAGCCTGGTGTTTGAAGATCTCTAAACAACAGACACAATAGGATACTGTGATAGCACTTTAAAGGTACTCTGGCATTATTTACCATGTGATCAAACCATAACTGTAATCATTTATATATCTGTCTGAGTCATAGCTGAATGCCAAGTTTTGCAGTAATTGGACAATTTTATCTGTGTATGTAAATTTTTTTGTCAGCAGATGTCTTATGATCTTCAAGATTCAAAATTTTATGCCAATGGGTGTTTTTGGACATAAATATTATTAGATGTATTATTCACAGATTATTTTTTTAAATAATATTTGAAAATTTCATTAATCATATTTTTAAAAAATTACTGAAATATATAACTACTGTATTTGAATAAAAAATAAATATTGAGTAACAAAGATAATTTAGGTGAAATGCATTAAAAGTTTAAAAAAATGGCAAAAATTATTCTTGATTTGTCTTTCATTTAGTTAAAATCACATTTTATTAGTTCTATTTTATTTTCTGAATAAAATTATGTGGAATTTATTCATTGTTTCTTGAACCTCTTGTATTTTTAGTATTTAATTGAGATTCTTTTATATACAAGGGTTTCAAAAGTAGGTATACAGTTGTTATATTGGAAAAAAATCATACGGGGAGAAAATAGGAAGAAAAACCATTTATTTTTATGTACAAATTAAATCACAAATAAGGAATACAAACTAATAAATGATAATAAAAATAATAATAATGAATATCCACAAAAAACCTTTATCAGTGTTGTGTTCATTACAATATCCACTAAGGTTTTCGACCTAGGTGGAGGTCGAAAACATTAGTGGATATTGTAATGAACACAACACTGATAAAGGCTTTTTGTGGACAGTTATTACTCAACACAGTGTTACAGTTAGAAGATGTTTTGTGTTAATAATAATGAACATCAAACATTTGTATTTCTCAGATTCTCAACTGTATACCTATTTTTGCATCCCCTGTATTTCTTCAGAGCTCTTGTAATTTCCTACAGTTTCAAGAACATCAGCTAAATTTCAATAATTAAATATCTAATAACTTAAATATTTATCTTTTCATAGTGTGCCAGTGGATGATGATTCACAGTTCAAACAACTTATGTATGCTATTGAAACTGCAGTAGTTCAGTGGACATCACAAGTCAATGAGATCATAGAAAAAGATTCTGACCCTGCAATATTGCATGGAAATCTTATAGAACCTAAAAATGAATTAATATTTTGGAATCATCGCTATAAAAATTTGAAATATATATATCATCAAGTAAAGTATAATACATATCTATTTTTATATTATTTTTCTATACAGTATGTACATTTTTATTATAAAAATGCATATACTGTACATTTGGCTTATACTGTAATTTCGAGCAGATAATCTTAGTAACAATACTCAATTCCATTTAAAGTACTTAAAACAATACATTGTATTTAGTAACATAGGGGTTTCTTGCTTTGTTGATTATGTAAAGAGTGATTAAAGTCATATTAGGACATTCTTAACTTCACCATTTATGCAAAATGATAGCTCTGGAGAGAGTGGCCACAGAGATGGACTTTGATTTACATTAAAACTTATGTGGCTTCATAGAGGAATTTTATGGGTGGTCACAGAAGTGGAGTGGCCACAATGTAAGGTTTACCAAACTAAACTTTACTAATGAAAAGATGAAAATAAGTTGCAGTAAACAATTTATTTTCATCTTTTCATTGGTAAAGTTTAGTTTGAATGTTCTTTGTCATGAATATCAGTTTAGTTAAAGCTACCTAATGGCATGGTGCAAAAACAGGAAAATAGAATTATATTGTCAATGTTGTCACATATTAGGATCTTGTGGGTTGCTGATTATTCATGACTGATTTAATTCATTTTAGATGCAATTATAATTATAAAATAAGTATTAATAATAATAAATGCTAAAATAAAGTTGGAAAAATTTAATAGAGAATAATTTTAATATTAGTGTGAGAACCTGGGAAATGTTTAAATAGTAAAAAAAAATTATAAATTTTGACATAAAATCAAAGTAAAAATTTTAGTGAAAAATTAGATTTACCTTATAAATCTGAAAAACAGAAAGGCAAAATTTTATCGACTTCAGCATCTCTCTTTCATTTTCTCTGATTCAGAGGATGTTGAAGTTCCTGCTAAATTGAAAGTTAGTCAGAAAATGATTGCATCAGGAACAAACCTGATTGGTCATCAAATTTCTAATAAAAAGGGAAGTTACCTTTAGCCCAGGCTGCTTGTAGTCACACTAACAGCCAAAGCTTTAGCCATGCAATAACCCAGTGTCAGAAGATACTAATAGTTCCTGCCTGATGATAGGTCTCCAGCTCAGAGTCAAGTGAAAGTGCTACATTAAAAGAAGACAAGATTCTTATGATGTCCTAGGTAGTTTATTTATCTATGTAAGCTCTCTCATTCGGCAGCCATACCCCAAGGTCTTAACCAACTGTCAGACTCGTTACATTTGAGGTTTATTTAGCTTTTATTATATGTCTCACTAATATATTCAATATTCTATGTATATACTTTGTATGTGTAAAGCAGAATATATATAAAAAAATAGTTAGCTTATATTAAAGGGAATTGTCCTGCTTCCATTCTCCCGAATGGAAGCAGGACAATTCCCTTGGACATCCTCTCCTCCACTCGACAATACAACATGACCCTCCATACTCAATATTACCCCTCGATATTGCCACTCAGATCGAGTCAAGCTTTCCCACATGCATGAGAAAATAAAAGATAGTTTATAATCATGAGTTAGGGCACGAACTTTGAATTACTCTTGCTGGTGTCAGGACTGACATAGAAAGCGATCTCATGATCTTTAGTCTTCCTTAAGTTTAAGTAAAGATTTCATGACCATCCTAGATAGTGGGTCTTATAGACCGTGATCTCACATTATTAATAACCCATCCAATGTGACAAGTTTGAGAATTGATTATTCAGCTTTTAAATTTAAATTTATTTTACTACTATTTTCAAATTTAAATATATACAAAAAAAATTTGAATTAAAATTGGATTTGAATATTTTATAACATTAATTTTAAATACAAATTTCAAGGAGAATGACATTAGTTTGAATTATTCAATTATTCAAATTAATCAAATTTGGATTAGTCAGATTTGACTGTACAAATAAGTAGTCATTTAGTATTTAATTTTATATATATGAAATGGTTATTTGATTAAGTGAAAATTAAATATAAAATTTAAAAATATATTTATTATTAAATACAATATATCTAATTTTAACTTTCATAAAAATATAAATATGAATATACCTGCAGATGCAGGATTATGGAATTTTCAAGAATTATTTAATAAATATGTACATTTACCATTTCAGTTAAGTCAGTCTCGTGTACAGAAGATGGGAAAATTATTAGAAATTACTGAAAGTTGTTATTTACCATCTTTTAAAAATATGATAAGGAATGTAGTTGCAGGTAATTTTGAAAATTATAGAATTATTTTTACAGAAATTTCATTGAATATTAAGAAGAAAAAGTATTCTAAGCATATTTGCAAATATACAAATATGTTCAGAATGCTTTTAGTAGTTAGGTTAATTATTAAATATAAATTAAAGTATTGCTCTTTAGAATTCTTGATTAAGTGTACATTTAATTGTGCATAAACCAAATCTTCATTCAGATATACAAATATAAATATTCATATAACTTTTAAATTTGTTCTCATGTATTTTTAAGCATATTTAATTTAAGAATTTATATACATTAACTTAAAAAAATAATGAACATAATCATCAAAGATATTTGAGAAAAGCAAAATTGAAATGAATAAAAATGTTATTAAAAATGTTTAATTTAAATACTTTAAATTTATTTATATGTGTCAGGTTGAAATTATTGTTAATGTTCTTATTATGCAATTATTTTCATGACATTGATAAATGAGCTACTCATTTGCCAAATTGATTAACTCCATAAAACAAAAAGTATAAAAATTGATAATATAAATTACTTTTTAAAATTCCTTTTAAACTTTAAATAAACATTGTAGAATGTATTTTTATATATTGTTACATTAAACTGTGCCTTCATATAATGATATATAAATTTAGTTACGTGATAAAATGTAAAAATAATGAAGATTATATTAAGAATTTACAAATGGAGTTCATCAATTTGGTCTGTGAATGGCTTAAATATTAAAGCTAATCAGATTTAATATTACATGATTATATTTGTTACATTAACTTTTAACTAGTAGTTAAGCCTGGCATTGCATAGTAAAAAATAAGTACAAACATTAAGATTATTAGATTATTTCATACTTCTAATCCTTCTATTATATTTTATTTTATTATAGTATTTGATTTATATAACTACAAACATTATCTTATGTAAGATTTTATCACATCAAGTGCCCAACCTAACACATTTTTAAAATGTGTTAGATTGGTCACTTGATGTGATAAATCCTTATGTCAGATAATGTTTATAGTTATATAAATAAAATACTATGATATAAGAAATATTAAAAACAAAAAACCACATAAAGATTTTGGTTATTATAGCCTATCATTGTCACATTTATCGCAATACTGGGATGGTATGAAATGGCACAAGTTCATTGGTCAAGTAGACAATAATTAAAAATGTGACATATTAAATTTTTTAAGATATCATATTTTTTCTAATGTTAGCTCTAACAAACTATTTCATTCACAGTCGAATGTCAAATGGTAAGCTGCCAATGAATCAAATTTTACAAAAACAGACAAGCTATTTAAACTTGACACCTTTAAAAAAAACATATTTTGTGCTTGCCAGTAACCTTGTATTATATAATTTTCCTATTCAAATGCCACTATACTGCTGGGTCTGATAGGAAGAGGGGACTGTTGCAGATGAAGGATAGCTAATTCAACCAAAAGTAGTAGTTGTCCTCCTTCTGGGAGAGAGGATGGTCAACAACTACTACTTGATACCAGTCTACTGTTAATATTTGAAAAGTGATCTGTGTTGGATAGGTTCTGACAGCCTTGCATGTGATCGAAGTTACTAAACTTAATGTTCAAAAGACTTCATATAAGACTTGTTTAAATAAAACAAATCTTGTAAAAATGTGAGAATAATTGCTTTTATGTGATCTAAACGAAAAAAAAAAAAACAATGAAGCCAGGTTGAAAAAGTAAAGATCAGTAAAAACATTTAAGGTTTGAAAGTTGTGGCATAAGAATAGTGGAAGCAGATTTGACAGTAAGACTCAACATGTGAATAAGGTATACATTACACAGACTACAACTACAGGAAGTTTTGGATGAAGAAAAGTCATTATGATAATAAATAGGAAAAATAAACATCAGCATAGAAAAAGACTTTGAGCTATACTTTGTGCCTTAAAATTGTTGCATGTACTGTACATTAATTTGACTGAATGTTAGAACATCTTTAAACAGAATCAGTGAAAGAAGTTTGAAGCAATAGGTTTATGAGTTAATAAAGGGAGATGAAATCGGGAGGGAGTGGGGTGTCCAGGTTTCCTGGTAGTTAAGCATGTCCTCATAAATATCGCGTTTATAGAAAAATTATTAGAAATAGTTTGGCTTATTTGGTTACAGGAATGCAACACGTGAGTAATCTGCTGAGAAGTATGCAACTCATGAAGACTTTTATGTAAAGCTGGCCCCAATTTACGTTACTAACATGAGGAAACCCCAGAAAACTCCATATGGCCAGTCCCTTAAGGACTTATCCCGAGATATCTCGGGCAAGTTCTATAGCGTTACATAAAATTCGGGTGTTTGGACCGCCTAAAAAATTTTTGTTTTTTTATTTTTGGAATGTTTTTTAAGTCTCCAAATTTTTTCAAAATTTTTATCGCGATTTTAATTTACCTTTAATGACGCACGATTCACGCTTAATTGCTTTTTAATTGTTTTTTAATGGGAGTTTGATATCAAATTTCATTCATCGTTCTAAAGTTGTAGTGCACGGATTTTCCTTCGGTAAAGTTATTTAAAGCTAGTTTCAGATGTCAAAAACCACCTCCAATAGTTTTTTAATTTTTTTAATTAATAGATTTTATTATATATACGTTTAATTAAGTCGGGGGTCGGAAATCGCAATTAAAATTTTAATTTTTTAAAAATATTTAAAAATATACGGCCAGCTAGTATTCACCCTACTATAAACCCATCGCCTCCCGAGACTTCTATGAGAATGTCCCGGAAAATCCAACTCCAGCTGTGTTCAATGTCATCCAGCTGTGTAAACAATGACTCATCAGCGTCATATTTCACAGAAAGGCAAGACAAAGGAAAAAAAAAATTTGAAGCTTTTTCTTCAAAATTAACGCATTTCTTTCGTTTTTTTCAGTTTTAAGTATTTTTTATGTTTAATTACATTAATATCAAAAATTGGAAAGTCTCAAAGGAGTTAAGTGAACCCACAACTGACTACCAGTGTTTGGTGATTTTGTCCACTTGGTTACTGGAGGGTACTTATTTGGCTGCAATTTGAAAAACTTGTAGACCTATAAATTTTCACTGTTGTCCATCTCCAGAACATAATAGATAGTTAGATAGATGAAAGCAAAACCAGATATGGAAAGTGTAAGAGCAAGAGGACTGGATTAACTATATAATTTCTGATTTATACTGCAAGACAAGTTATTTCAATTCAAAAATTTTTCTCTGAATGAAGTTAGATATATAACTGGCATGACTCTTGTTAACAGGAAAAGTATGATATACAGGGACAAAACACTACTACATTCCATGCAGGCAAGTGCTATGTGCTATCTGTTGCAATAATGGCATATCTATTTCACTGTATGTTATTCTTGCAGTAATTCAGTGAATATATTATATCAATATATTTTTTAAAATTATATTTTTTTGCAAGAATTATGTTTAGTTAATTTTGTTAAATTTATTGTCAATAGATGGCACTACATGTAAAGCCAGCAATCAAATGTAGACGGAAATTAATCGATATATAGAAATCCAATTGATAATTTTGGGTGAGACGTACATCATGATCTTAGTTGAAGTATATGAATGTAACTTCCGAGTTTTGTAGCAATTGGTTCAAATGGCCTAAGCATGTTTAGAAAAAATAAACATCCTCATTTATATACAATACATAGATTATTGCATGATATCTTCAATGCACTGATATTCATACTAGTATAATTTTTTTATACTTTTTTCATTATTGTTTTCCATCAGTTTTTATTCTGATGTAAAATTTGATCATTGAAGAAATTCCAAACTTTTGATTTGGTTATAAAAAATATAGTCTAAATCACATCTTAGACTAATCTCAATGCTATTTAACTGTTGTTAAATGTTCAATCATTCAATCAATCAATTCTTTATTGCATTACCCCAGTTTGTTACAAGAGAGTTAAATTATAATTTAAAAGTAAAGTTAGTAATATTTTAACAAATTAATATAATAGCTTAGTACAAGATAATACAAAATAAAATATATAATAATAATCAAAATTTGAAAAATACAGTAAATTAATTATATCTTTTCAGGATTTAAATCTCATCAAATACTTTTTTCTATTTGCTTCAAATTTCAGACAGTTAAAGAATATACAATTCCAAGTTTCATACACTTGCATACTACTACTACAAATTCTTTCAGAATCTATTATTAGTCTACTATTACACATCAGAATGTAATTTTGACCACATCTCAGTTGAAGAATTAATTGTTTTGCATAATAATTTATGTCCATACATGAATAATCCTTGCACATAAAAATTGTTTTAATACTACAGTATAATTGATAATGCATGTTTTCCAACAAAGACCAATCTTCTTGCATGCTTTGTTCACAACATACTTTTAGAATTAATGATTGATAGCTTTCAATTTAGTTATTTTATTTAAAAATTATAAATATTCTCTACAGGAGTAGCAGAAGCACAAGATATAAGCTTTCATCTAAAACCATTAGAGAGTCATTTATTGAAATTTGAACAAACAGATTTTAAGGATATTATACCTGCCATTTGCATTTTAATTCAAATTATAGGATTGTGTTGGGCACGATCTGATTATTTCAGAGCTCCATCTAGATTAATTATATTGCTCCAGAAAGTTGGAAATAAATTAATAAATATGGTAAATATGAATTCTTTTAATTTATTTTATTTACTTATTATCTTGCTATGTAATTAACATCAAATGATGATCAACCAAATTATTGGGCTATTTTTGGGCTACATTAATACGAGGTGGTGACATATCTGCCTGCCTCTAGTAATATTAATTAGTACAGTGATACCCCGAACTTACGTGATAGGTGGGACCGAGCGATAACTGCGTAAGTCAAATTCACATAAGTTGGGGTATAATTTCGCAATTTGTGTAAAATCCAAGTTGGAGGTATGTAAGCTAATAAATGTTCTCGTTAATCTTATCTCATCTTTTGATTTATTCACGGTTACAAGAAATCACCACATAGAGTCTCTCAAGTCTCCGTAGATATAAAATACACAGAAATAAATAACACAAAATAAGTTGTAGCTATGCGTGCGACACGTCTGAACATGTAAGCTGAACAATAGTGTGGGGGAGTGAGTAATCAAGAGTTGCCTGGTGCTCAAACAAAAGACGATTCAACGAGATTTGAAAATCGCGTAACTCCGGGTTCGTGTAAGTCGGGGTAGCGTAAGTCGAGGTATTACTGTAATTAATTGTTAGCATAGTTCAAAAATAGCCCGATAATTCAGTTGATCATCAATAAAAAACTGTTGAGTATAAAGTACTGCTATTTTTAAGTTTTTGTTTACAGTACTTGGTAAATACTATAAATACATAAGTTTATCATTGACTTCATTATTATCTTATTTTGGAGTCTTATTTTGAGATATGCCTTTATGTTTTGCTAATAATTAAAAGCTCTCTGATTTAATGAGATACTCCTTTTAGAATTAAGACATAACTTGAAAGGTCTGCTGGTGTGATCTGTCATTAATTCCTTCAACCTGATGAAACTATTAATGCAGATTCCTGTTGTACAGAACTGCAGCAAATGCATGAAAAACTATGCAAGTACTCAGCATTAGTCAATTGATAGAAAGATGCTCAGGTGCAAGTAATTTTTTGTGGCCCCAAAATACAAATATCCCCCATATAACAGGGTAGTTAGGTTCAAAAAATGTACCATGTTATGCAAATCTGTGCTATATGAAACAAAGGAGTAGTACAAAACATAGGGTGCATATACTTTTCATTTCAGATGGATCGATCTTTAAGTTCAGATCAGTCTTTGTCACATGCTACAGATCGCTTTTGTCATGTGTATTAGTTGGTGAAAGTATATAAGTAGGATCAAATTGTATTTACTCTGTGAATAAAATTATTCACATAATTGCAAAATGGGAATGTGCACACCATGCACTTTTACCATACAATCTTGCAAAACTGTCTTAATACTTATTTTTTCATCTAAGTTTATTGGATATTTTAATAATTTCTTTACTTACCATTTATTAAGTTTTAAATACTTTTCATTATTGACAGCTAAACATATTTCTTTGCTGTCAATTAATAGCTTGACTTTAACCATGGAGGTTGCCATCTTTAATTTTTTTTTATCTGATCCAAACGATCCTACCCTCTGCTCAGATTAATTTAATCCACATGATTCTATATGACATTTGTATATGCAGATAGAGATTGATCAGATCACTATAGTTTGCTTTTATACAGGAATTGAACATTCAGAGTAATCTTGGATCAGTTTGATTCCAAATGTATATGCATCCATAGAATTAAGTTCAAAAGTTAGCAAAAATATTACTATTCTTTTTTATAATGAAGAGAAATATGCTTATTAAAACAATCAATAATTACTTAACAACAGGGCCATGTGGTAGATTTTCTCAATATGATGCAAGTCTTTAAAATGCTACCCGTTAAATGTTTTTTATGCTGCTCCTTTATGGTGCCACCTGATGCGGCCGCCTCTCTGTATAGTATGGCATGGCACAGCTCTGCTTAATAATCAGAATCATAAGTATTACATGTTAATATTAATTTTTTCTTTACTGATAGACACTGTTAAATGAAGACTTTTCTGTTTTGGTAAAATATTGTCATCATTTGAATTTTTCTGTTTACCTTAATCTGAAGTATCAGCAACATCTTGACTTTTCTGTATTTTTAAAAAATAAAATCTGATATTTTCATTTGCTTGCTTTGATGAAGAGATCTTTAAAAATTTAAGCTTTTTATATAATCATTTTTAATTTAATCTATAAAAACAAAACACAATGACAATCTTTTGGATTCATTAGGGCACTATCACCAATATCAGTCATACCTGGTTTATAGAAAAGCAAGAATAGGAAGCTAGCACAAGGAAGAAGAAAAATTGTACAATCAGTTCTTGTTAAAGAAAACCGAATGAAAAGCATAAAACAATATTGAAATTTTCAATATTCTAAAATCTACTACCAAAACCAAATAACCTGTACAAAAAAAAGGTGATAGAACTAATATTTTTGCCTGTGTTGAATGGACATCATCAGGTTAAATGACTCCACAGCTATTAAAACAATAAGAGATTGCTGTACAAGTGTGAAGAGGGGAGGTGACCTGAGAAAGAGAGGGGTAGAGCAGTTTACAGTTTAAAGAACGACTTCCATGCAGGAGGAAGAAATCTACATCACGCTGCCATTAACTTCTGTAATATATATTCCTTCCCCCTGGGTGAAAGTTGTTCTTTGAACTGTGAATTCACTATCATCTCTCCCTCCCTTTCTCTTTCTTACGTCACCTCCCCTCTTCACATTTGTACAGCAATCCCTCATTTTTTTAACAGCTGCAGGGTCATTTATCCTAATGATACCTGTTCAAGATGTGAAAACATTAGCTCTATCACCTTTTTTCTGCTGGTTATTTCATTTTTGTGACTGTTTATATCAAATTTACCCAGTTGTGAGTGGTTGTGTTTTATTCTAAAATCCATGGGTAAATATGAGACAACATGCGTACTTGCTTGAATAAAAAATATTGAATAACAGTGTTTGCTCTTAAAAATTTTGACATTTTGTATGGGGATATCCCAAATTCTCAAACCATGTTAGAGCGAAACTGTGTTGTAGGAGGGATATCTGTATTTCTCAACTATAATAAAGCCTAACTTATTTTCACTAAAAATTAATAAAGAAAATAGAATAAAAATGTATTCCAGAAATGTCTGTGAAGTTTGTCCCAGCATTATACAAAACTTGTACCATACATTTGTACTCATTATTCTAAGGATAACTATTCGGTTGAACGGTTGAAGGGATATATCTATTTTAAAATGTAGGGGCCAACTTCACACTAGATCCCACATTTTTTTATACTGGTACAAAACCTCTATTATTCATCTTTACTTATTAATCTGAAGATTATTCTCTAATAGTGCCTTTTTATACCAAATAGAGTTTAGGAGATATGGCCATTTTAAAGTGTAAAGCCTACATCATGCATGCACATTACATTGCAATGTTGTTTGTACTGCAAGATCAAAGTGAAGAGATCTCAAGTTAAATAACTGATATTCTGCATTCTGCAGTTTTTGAAATGTTTTCATAACCATATAAAACTATTGCATGCTGAATTCGAGATGCATCGATTTATTTTTTCTTTGTCAAATAGTGTATTCTAGATCAAATTATTTGAGAGAAATCTTGAAAAGAAAAAGATACCCCTTTTGTGCATTGTCTTCAGTTTCAATTACTGTAGAGGTCACCAAACTTCAGGTGGAATGCCTCTTTGCTTTGATTTATCTGGCCCATAAACATTTATTAAAATATTTACATAATTTTTTGAGTGTATAAAAACAAAAGTAATAATCAAAAACTACAATAAAAATGAACAATTACTTTTGATAGCAAAGAACATTAACTTTGAATTTCCTTCAAATTCATTTTTTTCAACTTGAGTATAGAGTACTTGAATATATAATCATCTGTTTCCACCAAGTTTAAAAGGACCTATATACTGATCTTCATGAGAAACTTTGGAGATCCCCAGTTTAAACAAAAAGATGTTCCTAATTTACTGGATTTTGTAATTTTTGTCAAATTTAAATAAATTTGTTTAATCACTTATTTGAAATTTAATATATAGGTGTATTAAGGAAATTCAAAATTTTATTTTTCCAAATATTTTAAAATATCAAAATTTAGCAAAAAGTATGACCTAGGTTTCAAAACTATTATTCAGTATTAATATGAATTTTAGGTAAAAAAGAAGTCACAAGGAGTTCTTCACAATTCTTTGATAGGTGAACAGTACTTATTAATATAATTACTGAAAATTAATATATAATCAGGGTAGTACTTACTTTACCCTGATTATATATTAATTTTCAGTTCCATATTCCACATCTGTAATAAAATCTGTAATTGAAGTTAAATTATTGTATTTTGTTTCTTAACTCCAAAAATTTGTTGGAAAATGTATGTAATATGCACATTAAGAGGATAACATTGCCAAATTTTTCCCTAATGGCTGAATTTAGAAGTAAAATTTTCCACAATAATTGAAATCACATGCTCAGGATGAGATATCACATTTGGTTGAGATTTGCCCAATAGTTTTACTACAGAGAGCTCTGAACATCTACTCTAATTATGGTCATCCTGTACATTACCTTGTATGAAAGTTTTAAATTACTGTATATTGCAAAGGATGTACAGTATTATGTAAATTTATTAGTATCAGTTTTATTGTTTTTGTTTAGTTTTATATTCTATATTACACTTTTAGAAGATTCAGTATAGTACTCTTTAAATACAGTTCTTTATGTCAATTTTTTCATAAGTGATCACTTCATTTGTGGCCAAAATTGTATATCTGAAAGTAGCCAGAAAAATGAGGTTTTACTTTACTTATATATTAAATTTAATAATTTTAAAATTAATGATTGATTTTTAATAATTTTTTTATATTTTTATTTTGTAGTGCCATGATTGGTTAGATCCATCCAGTATATTAAATTTGGATGTAGATGAAGCATATGATAAATTGGAATTTGCTTCAAAAGTTTTAAAAGACTTCTGTAATATATATCATGAATATTCTGATAATATGGAAAAATATATATCTGGAAATGTTGTTCAATCTTGGAATTTTTCTGATAAAAGAATATTTGAACATGTAAATAAATACTTAGAAAGAATTCAACTTGTAAAGGTTAGTTTAAAAATACAAAATTAATTTGATGATTTTTACAATTGCATTTTTTATTTAATTTTTAGTCTGCTCGTTTTTATTTCTTACTTTCCTGCATTATCTTTACAATTAAGATAATTTTTTCTTGTAACAAAATTGAATTTTAGATATAATCTTGTAATATTTCTTATGTAGCAGAAAAATTAGTACAAATGTAATAGAAATAGACTATAATACAAGTATAATATTTGTATTATTGTTTAATTACAGTACTTGTATATTAACTCTATTCAAAAGTTTTTTATTAAATAATAATGAGCACTAACTGCATAGTTAACTATTATAAAAGACAATGAAATTTAACTATTATTTAGTTATAAAAATAGTTTAAATTACTAGTTAACTACATAACTATTCAGAAATAGAAAAACAAAACTTTAGATTGGATTAAAATAACAGTTTTGTTTTTTATTTCATCCATATTATGTAACACTTTTACTTATATATATATTTTAAACTGATGTCTTAAGAATACAAGTATCCTTCAAATTTTCCATGTACAGTACATTACCTAGATAATAAATTTGTTCTGAAAAGGAAAATAGATGTTCCACTGCAGCACTACCAGTGAAAGTAGTGTTGTATTCAAAAAATTATTCTTTATTTACTAGTAGTTGTGTAACACACAAAAACAAACTTTATTATTTTTTTAAATTTCCAATTATACATGAAAATTCCTGCCATTTATGTCAATAAATAGAGTATTAAGTAATAACTTGATGCAAGTATAAAACAAAATAAAAATATAGGTATGTAACAAGCCATGTATTTTCTTACACGTGTGCATGGCAAAACATAGCAAAACCTGATTGGTTGTTTTTTTCTTTGAATTAAACTTTTATCAACTGGCAATATAAAAATTTTAAATGCTATAATTGCTCAAAAACAAGTAAAAACATTGAACCACACTTTTTGACTTTCACAAAAGTTGAAATGGTCTTCACAAAAATTAAAATGTGTATGCTCTGCTTAATAACTTACATTAGATTTATTATAGTGAGACAGCACTATAGTGAATTAAAAGGAAAACTAAGTTGGAGTAGTTGAAACTAAACAGGTAGTTAACTAGTAATTTAATTACTAAATTAGGACAGTAATTGTATGCAGTAATTAATTATATTGACAGTAGTATAATTACAGTTGAATCTTGTTTATGTGTTTTTCAAAAAAAACTGGGAAAAATATTATGTGAGAAAAACATGTGAGTGAAGCTAACTAGTTTTGAATTTTTTCAGAATGAATATAGTCATCATAAAAGTACTACAAACTAATACTACACACCTGACTTTATACTTAGCAAAGAAGTTTCAATTTTCTATGTGGATATGTTTGAACAACATATAAAAGGAAAATTAAAACAGTGTCAAATTAACTCCATGTATTTTTAAAAAGTTTACCAAGATTTATTTTTTGTTTGTTGTTTTGTTTTTTAATGGACTTGTATTGTATATATATGGTGTTGTTGTTTTATGTGAAACCTTACCACTAAATATGGAGTATATTACCTCCAAAAACCTCTAAGGATAGTTAAAAAAATATATCTTTTAAAAATCCTCTAAATTATTATGAGTTTCAAAAAATGTGTGTGAACAATCTAGATAATACTAGTAATCACAAATGTCAAATTCAAACTACCATTACAAATGTTAAACATTTTATTTAAATAATAACATGTCATTTTCTATTAAGATTTTAATATTAATCAGTTTCAAATGCCTTGCACCTGCGCTGATGTTACTTGCTTTTCATTTTGAAGGAACAAAATTTTAGCGGGTTTTGTTTTTTAATTTCAATTTATATTTAACATTCAAACCTCTAAATCTGGGTATGAAACTTTCAAAATGGCAACAACTGAGTATATGATACCAATTGTCTTCTTCCACTGAAACTCCAGTCATATGAAAGAATGAAGAGCCATTCTAAAGGTTAGCACACACTGACAATGAATAATGGAAATGAATTATAAATCAGAAACAATTTTGATTTGCAAATTGCTTCATGCTTTAAAATGTGGAAAGTGAAAATTTTCAACATAGACGGGCCAAATGATTTGCTAAATAGGAAAATTTGTTGGAAATAGCCTCACATTACATATCATTTATTCTACTTTTTGTATTTGATGGCAGTTCATTGTTAGTATGGATTAACACCTGAAGTAAATACATACTATGCTTTTTTACTTTTTTAATTATTACTTTAAATTTTTTTTATTACACTTACACACATAATGCATAAGTGAGAAATTGCTATAGGGTACCTAGAAATATGACATATAAGTATGAAATTATATAAATGAAAAACATATAATTGAAGTGTTTTGTAATGGAGAAAGTATCACGGAGGAAATATTTAACATATAATTGTAAGAAAAATATACAACTGAGAAATGCATATTTTGACATAAAGGTAACAAAATTTAATTTATTGAAGTTCAAAGTTATTAAAATTAAAATATTTTCAAATACTTCATTTTACAAGCAGTTTCAACTAAATTATAAGTAGAATATTTTCTTTTAGTATAAATATTTTATACTACTAAACATCTTTATTTTATTTGCAACATAAAAAGGTTAAGTCAAACTTCAATAACTCTATTTTAATATCCATTTCAATAATTTGGACTTTTTCAATTGAAGAAACCAAGAAACATTTTAATTTCTTCCATTTTCCATTTACTATTGTCTGTACAAATTAAATTATAATCAAATAATGTGTTTAAAATCTTACATTTCTGAAATTTCACATGTATAAACTATGATCTACAGATAGCCATTTTATTTTTCAATTCATTTTTCATTTTCGTAAAATTTTTTTATCAGAACAAATATATGGATATTCTATATAAAATTTGGCATGGAAAATTCTAAATGAAAAAAATGATAATGCAGTAGCTCCTCATTATATTGAGAATGTAGGGAGACAAACCAAAAGAGTGATATATCAGATGGCACAATATGAATGATGTATCTATCCATTATTGATAAATTGGTTTTATATTTAAAGACAAAAAATACTGTGATATATTTCAATGAGTGCTGTAATGAAGTATACAACAAGGGGCTATTGTATTATCAATACAAATAATTAATAAATAAAGATTATATTTTATTATAGATATATAGGCATAGATACAGATATATATAGATTATAATTTAATTACTATAATAAATAATAATAAATTAATTTTTGGAATAAAATATATTAAAATATTAAATCAATTTTCAGAATTATTTTCATATATGCCAAGAGTACAGCAAATTGGAAAAAGTAGAAATTGGTGGTGTTAGAGGATATAGCATGAGCTGCCAAATACAAAATATTTATGAAGAATTTGTTAATTGGATGGAAAATTTTTCAAAATCAACATATGATATTTTTGATGTGAATGATGATGTAAGATCATTATATATTTCATCATATATCATATCATAATATATTTATAAATGAATATTTGTATGATTTTCTTTAATTTAATTATTAATTAGATTAAAATTACAATTTTTAATTTAAAAAATTTTTTTACTTAATTAATAAGTTAACACATGCTTACAGTTTACACATGATTAATAATTAATAGTCATATACTATACTTACAAATGATAAAACGTCTTTATTATTATTAACACTTTTTACTCAACATCTCTGATATGTAGTATAGCTATTGGACAGAAGCTGGCTTTTCTGTTTCTCTTCTATATAATAGAAATGGATGATCTTATACAGGGTGTCTCAGTTAAACGTTTCAGAACTTCTATGATACCCCTCATAGAAGTTCTGAAACGTTTAACTGAGACACCCTGTACATCCCAACGACTTGGAATCATATAGCAATGCAGTGTCAGAAATGCTTTCCTGAAGCAGTGATGTACACAGAAACATCATAAAGAAGAAGACCATAAGTGAATATTCATTTTAATATTAAATGTACAAAAAACAAAAGGAATATTCGAAGTTTCTTCCACTGACTGCAATGCAAACCTCACATCTATGGTGCATGGAATTCCAAACATTCGAGAATAATCCAAGCTCATCTCAAATTTCTCTGGCAGCTACTGTGATTCTTGCAACCAGCTCCTCAGCATTGTCAACAGGGATGTTATGACATCCCTGTTGACAATAAACCAGTGTTTTCATATGCCCCCAGAAATAAAAATCAAGACATGATAGGTCTGGTGACCAAGTAGGCCAACGCACGGGACCACCACGTCTGATCCACTTTTGGCCAAATGTGACATCTACAATGCCATCTACCATGTCAGGAAAGCATTTCCGACCCCACATTGCTATATGATTCTGAGTCATCGTGATGCACCCTACCCCTCTTAGAAGTTCTGAAATGTTTAACTGAGACACCCTGTATAGTAAGGACTGGCTCGATAGGTTCCTGAATCCAAGGCTCTTCAAAACTCATGAATTTTTTATTAAAATAGTTCAGATAAATTTTTTATCTGAACTATTTTATGATGAGGATATCATATTTTATATTATGATTATTATGATGAGGATATATATTATGATGAGGATATCATAAAGATGGTTATTTCTGCTTCTATACTATATAATGGAAATGGATGCCCATATTATTTAGTGCTTTAGAGCAATGTTTCTCAACCTTTTTCTTATTGCAGACCAGTAAAATTATGGATAGTTTACATGAACCAGTAATTATATGCTACTACAAATTATGCTTATATATGCTTATCTAGAGTTACTGTACATAACAAAGTACATATAATAACTCTACATTACTATTTAAATGTCACCCATAATCAACTACATCAGAGTCAGTATGATCAAATATTTTTATGTGGACAATGAAATTTTTTCAAAGACTGTTTTAGTGTTTACTCTTTGCTGATCTTTATATAAAAGTCATATAAAAATACACACTGTTTGTGGAAGTCTTTCCAGCTAATACTACTTACATACATCCATTTCCTTTTGTTTCTACACAATTGCTTGTTTTTTGTATGTGTACAGTTATTTACTTTGCCACTATTGTTTATTTTAGTTTACTGTTAAATTTTATAAGATGGCTTCAAAAATTTTCTGGAATTTATTCATTTTAGAAAAATAGTTAACAATAAAATAAGTTACACTGTATATTCTTCAAAATAGTCAGTTTTAGTGGCTACACACTTTAGCAGAACATTAGCAGTTTTATGAACTTGCTAATGTTCATAAAACTGTTGGAAATAATCCTGAAACTCATTCTTTGATAGTTCTGTAAGATCTATTAAAGAATGCAGTGGTGGTGATATCATCAGAATTTTAAGTTAAAAGGGCAGTGTGAATCACTGTTCTTTTAACTTAGATTTTAAGTGAAAAAATAAGTAAAAATCTACAAGTCTACAGAATATTCAGGATGTTCTAATATTATTACAATATGCTATTGTATTTGGTTAAACAGTATCTAGTAAGATACTGTTTAACCAAATACAATAGCATATTGTAATAATATACTGTTGTACTGTTGTAATATATTGTAGTAAGATACTGTTTAACCAAAATGATAGAACATTGTCATGAAGGAGAACCCATATGTTTGTTTCATCTTTATGATTATTTTTTCCTTATTGCATTTCTCTGCTAATGAAGGATATCAAAGTGAATTTCTTTTGTAACCATTCAGTCTTTTCCAGAATAAACTCCTGGTGAATAATACTCTAGGAATGAAAAAAATTCTAATGTAACTTTTTCTTTGTTTCTTTCTATAGGACATATCTTTGATTAGGGAGATGATGATGATTCCATTCAAATGACTGATCATACAGAAAATACCACATCTTGTGTCCTGTGACTATTTTGTTTCAGCTAAAGTGATTAGGTCTGATACTGTAGTTCACGTTTTCTATTCTGGAGATAAGGTTATTGGAACCATGTGTAGACAAATATGATGAAACTTATACTGTCACAATTTCTAACAGATATTTCCACTTTTAATGCTATTTCTTTGACAGCTTTTTGTCTGTTGCAGCAAATGACATTCTGAACACTTAGAATGTTTTTTCACGGTTGAGGGATGCTTGCTATGTGGATCATTGCTAACAGTAGCACAACCTTTACAGAATCACTTATGCCAATAAGACATTTGTGATTTCTTTATTGCAGCATTATTGTAAGCTTTCTGAAATGTTTAATATTTTTGAGGATGCTTTCTGAAGCAAAACAGAAAATTGTCTAAGTGATAGTTACCAGTAACAATTATTATTGTGAAACAAAGAGGGATGGTTTTTATAATAATATAAACGCAAAAATAATGTGGTTGAGATTATAGGATGATCTCAATTATTCTATAACCACTTACTATTGAGACCTTGTGGATAATTATTGCTTTTAGAAATATGTTTTATTTAATACATACAGTAATACCTCGACTTACACGAACCCGGAGTTATGCGATTTTCAAATCTCATCGATTTGTCTTTTGTTTGAGCGCCACACAACTCTTGATTACTCACTCCCCCCAATACTATTGTTCAGCTTACATGTTCGGACGTGTCGCGTGGAATTGACACATAGCTACAATTTATTTTTGTGTTTGTTATATCTAGGGAGACTCGAGAAACTCTATGTGGTGATTTCTTGTAACCGTGAATGAATCAAAAGACGAGATAAGATTAACAAGAACATTTATTAGCTTACATACATCCGAGTTGGATTTTACACAAATTGGAAAATTATACCCGACTTATGCGAATTTGACTTACGTGGTTATCGCTTGGTCCCGCCTATTGTGTAAGTTTGAGGTATTACTGTACTTTTTTACAATATGCAATTTGGCCAATTACTAATATGGCTCTGTTAGAAGTATAGTGCTCTGCTATTATGGTTAATTAATTGTAGTAAATCTGTAAAATTATGTAAAACACGTCTGTTTATTAAAGAAAATTGTATCAGATTTTTTTTTGTTAAGCATAATGTTCTGTGGTGTGTTCCATGTCACATTTATGGGGTCACAGTGGTTGTAGCTGGAGATTGGCTAAGAAGAGGATTCATGTGATTGGACAAGTTCCCAGATGGTATGAGATATAAAGGTGTGTGTCCACTTGGTTGAGCACCTTTTTCTTTGGATTCTTCGGATTGGAATGGACTCTCGAGCACCCATCTGAACTAAAGGTGAGATAAGGTCATAGTGATGATATAACAGGAGTGATAAGATGTTGGACTGTGTGCAAAGGACAATCCAAACCCATTGAATGAAATTTTATTCCTAATGCTGAATACTTTGTGTAAGAACTCATCTAGGAATCAGTTTTTACTCAGCGAGATGTTCCTTTTATCACTTTTGCGTTTATTTTCTTTGTTCACCAAACCAAGTGACGATCACGTGTTGGATAACAAAGAGCATCGAACTCTGATAAGAAACTGTACTAAAGAGAATGCTTAACCAGCCTGATATACCAACTTGTAAATAATTGTATATATTAGAAATAATCCTGTAACAGTAGTATTAGTGACTGACTAATACCTATGTAAGTAAAGGATAATATCGAGATGACTGTATAGCTGGTAAGAACTTAGTTGTGATTTGATTGTGTCAAATTGTTATTTTTTTTTTTGGTTCTTTTATTAATATAAAATATTTGTTCCATCAATATGTCTCTTTTAATTGTGAAGTCCTCAATTCATCACCCCACAAAAAGACTATATATATATTTCAATATATCTAAGTCACTACAGAAGTATCTTATTAAAACATGTTTCTAAAAGCAATAATTATCCACAAGGTCTCAATAATAAGTGGTTATTGAATAAACTGAGATCACCTCATAATATCAACCACACTATTTTTCTGTTTATATTAATTATTACAAAATTTTTTATTTGTGCACTGCTCAATGAGTGCCATTTTAAATTCCATTGATACTATATGTACTGTACTGTACATCACAGTAACAAACTATTCTTGCTGCTGTTGGAAACGAAATGACATGGTCACACATCACCTGATGTCATGGATATTTCCAAATTTTGATAATACAGCGTCCTGTTTATTCTTTCTATTTCATGCAGGATGTAATAATTCCAGAAAATTTTTGAAAGTGTCTTGTGTATTAGTTTTATATTATTAATGAACATCTTTATGGATGAAAATCATAATTTTTATCTGTTAGAGATGTTAAAATTTTTGGAAAGAAAGTACTTCTCTTAGTTTTATAAGTTGATATTTGTGCTTTTTGTGTGTTTTGTAAATTTTGTAAGCTGATTCACTACATTCAAAAGAGTTTAAGTGTTAGTAAAGTATGGTTTTCCAAAATGAATAATAATGTTTTAAATTATTGTAATTATGTTAATTATAATATAAGAAATATGCAATGTATACCAGTCAATACAGTAACTGTCTAAGTTTCATCTCCTGTTCCATCAAACATGTTGTTGTCTAATATCTCTAGAAGTGCCATAAATGAAATGGCAACTTCATGACAGAGAAGATATTTTGACATACTGTAGTGAGTGTAGAAAGAATTTGAGTATTGGTTGGACATGTGCTATGTGACACAAAGTGTACATATCAAAAAATTGTAATCAGCAAATGTGAAACTTGAACAGTTTTCTAATGTTTTAATGTATATTACAACATTCTCAGATAATAATTAACATAATTACAATAATTTACAATAAATTATGTTAATTACAATAATTAACATAATTACAATAATTGGTGTCATTCTTTTTTGGAAGACCATGTATTTTTTTCTGTAGCATTAAAACTATGTAAAAAGAAACAAGAAATTATTTAAAGTGAAGTAAATATTAAAAAACTTGGCAGATGGTGTTTAATTTTTTAGAAAATACAAAAAATTTTTGCGAACTTCTTCACTTTACTTTCGTCTTTTGTGTCCATTGGCAATCCAGAACAAATTTATATGTGGAGATGACCTTTCATTAGAGTCTATGCCTCCTCAACAATATGCAAATGGGAACAAAGTTCCTGGAGATTAACCAAATTCACAATAAAATACATTAAATGAAGTAAATATTAAAAAACTAGGCAGACAGTGTTTAATTTTTGATCAAAGGCATAAGTTGACTTACCTACTGAACTTTGAGTCCAGTGCTCTTGCCAGTATGTCATTGATCATTGCAGTAGAGAACCTTTTGCATACATAGTCGAGGGTTCAACCATCCTCGTCACAAGTTTTTTAATATTTACTTCATTTAATGTATTTTATTGTGAATTTGGCTAATCTCCAGGAGATGCTTTTCCAGTTTTCATATTGCTGCAGGGCCATAGCCTCTATAAAAAGATCGTTTCCGCATATAAATTTGTTCTGGACTGCAAATGGACACAAAAGATGAAAGTAAAGTGAAGAAGTTCACAAAAATTTTTTGTATTTTTTTAACAAACAAAAAAAGCAATTATTTATTGTGCCATCATCACAATGCTGGGCTGCAATTTTTAATCATATTTTTAATTTATTTAATTTAAAATATATGCTTTCCACCTCAAATTAGTAGTGGCTTGTTCCTGTACATCATACTTTTCCTTTAACAATTGTGCTGGCCATCCATTTACTGCTTTCAGGGAAAGTTTTTAAATTGAACATTGAATAACATGACTTTTGGTTTGCATCAGAAGCTCATATATAGTTAATCGGGGCCTCCTGTCCCAAAGATTTCCATTTCTGGTCTTGTCTTCCATTTATCTAACTCTATTCTCAAGATTAAGGAAAGACAGACAGATGGACAACAGTGGGAATTTATAGATCTACAATTTTTTTAAATTGCAGTCAAATAAAGATTGTCTTTTTTTAAATGAAAAGAATAGCAATAAATTATAATAATTATAACATTCATTAATTTAACATGATTTTTATTAATTCTTATCTTTGTTTATAGAGATTTTCTATAGATAATCAGAAATTTATAGAAAGAGTTTATGATTGGGAGTCAAATTGTTATTTTTTTTTTTGGTTCTTTTATTAATATAAAATATTTGTTCCATCAATATGTCTCTTTTAATTGTGAAGTCCTCAATTCATCACCCCACAAAAAGACTATATATATATTTCAATATATCTAAGTCACTACAGAAGTATCTTATTAAAACATGTTTCTAAAAGCAATAATTATCCACAAGGTCTCAATAATAAGTGGTTATTGAATAAACTGAGATCACCTCATAATATCAACCACACTATNCTATATACATCATATATATATATATATATATATTTATTATTATTTATTTATATCAGTGTTATTAAAACTATTTCTTTGATTCTAAGACATACCATAATTTTGAAATAAAACTTAAAAATTTTTTTAATGGAGAGAAAATTTTTTAAATAATCAATTATATTAAGTTTTGTTTAATAACAGCAAGTTAGAAAACAAAACGAGTACCACAAAATAGGTTATTTTTGTCATTTTTATACATATTGTATTTCCACACATATGAGCATGCTTTTATAGAGGACCTCATATAACAAACTCTAAGTAATTTGCCTCTGCTCTGCCAAGTGACACTACAGAGTACAAAGAGACTATGTTTTAATCATAGGCTTGGTCTGATACCCAGTAGCAGTCAGCTAATGGGTGTCTAGGACTTTTTTAAGTCGAACCTGACAAAAACGCTCGGGCTCTGGCTCTGGTTCCAGGGTAACCCAAGAGGGGACCACCAACCTTCATTGCCTTCTTGCCTTCCCCATTCTCAAGTCCAACCCTCTTACATGGACATACATTTTGGTGCAGCCTGTTCTGCACATAGAGCTCTCTACCAAAGAGAGACCATCTCTTAGTAACGGTTAGCAGGGTCCGGGGTCGACTCGGAAAGTCGGACGTGTTGGTATGCTTGGTTCTGCACTCCGTTTTCAGTTCGCGGTAACTTCAGAATTTTTGTGTAGATTGCTGAAATTTAGATACCGTTGGACAGGGCATTAAGAAAGGACTCTGTAAGTGTAAACAATTTCATTTTTCGTTCGGTACATTTTGTGTTATGGGCGTCAGCACTTTGTGTATTGTTCGGGCCTATAGGGCTTTATACGAGCCATCCGTTATTATTTTTGTCGTTTTCCGACGTCTTTTGTTGTTCCTTTTGTCGTGTAAAAATTTTGTTAAGTTATCTTTAACGGTTTTCGAGATAATTTTACTTAAAGTTTTTACCGTTAACAAAGAGCTGCTCTGCGCCACGTGGTACTGTTGTTAGCCGTTCAGCATCGGGCTTGCGTGGTCACGTGTCTTGTTTTTCGGTGTATTTACTATTGTCGGGTTAACTTTGTTCTTATTATTTGTGCTCCTATCATGGATGAACCAGAAAAGAGCCTTCTCAAACTTATTAACTCCAGTTTGGAAGAGATTATGGCGGCCATCCCGGCCAAGTCCCATGGTTCGGTTACCACCAAGAAAAGGAAAGCAGTGAGACAAGCGGCCATGGACATGCACGCCGCTGCCAACAAGCTGTTTGGGATGGTGTTGGCCCTGCGTTCAAGTGGGGCCAAACCCTATGCGAGCTATGCGGAGGTCGTGTGTGGTGGGCGGTCTGGTGGCAGCCAAACTACCAACTTAATCACAGACTTAGTGTCCTCCAACGCCTCGGAAAAGGGGTTCCAGGAGTTAATTATCGAGCCCGTTGAAACAGCTGACGGGATGAAACTCCAACCAGAGGAAGTGATGGAAACTATCACCGAGAAAATTGACCCTACAGGTCTGAATATAGGCATACGTAGTGTCCACTCTCTTTATAGTGGAAGTCTAAAGTTTCGTGTAAAAACGGAGCAAGACGTTGAAAACTTAAAGAACGCTATAGAGGAGCTACCAGAGATGAATGACAAGGTAAAAATTACAAAACCAAAGAAAAGGAACCCCAAACTAATCCTGTTAAATGTTCCCAATACCGAAGGAAAAGACGAATTACTTCATAAACTTTATGAGCAAAATAAAGAGATAAGAGGGAAATTTAGTAGTGAAACTTTCAAGCAAGGCTGTGACATATCTCACGCCATTCCCTCAAAGAAGAGAAAAGACCATCGTCACATAATAGTGGCAGTGGTCCCAGCAATAAGGAATACTCTAATACCCCTAAAACAACTGAGCTATGAGTGGGGACACCTGGTAGTTGATGACTACATCCCCATCGTCAGGTGCTTCAAATGCACTGGTTTTGGTCACATTGCCAAATTCTGTGACCAGAGTGAAAAATGCAGTCAGTGCACTAAGAGGCACAATTACAAAGACTGCACTAAACGACATGAAGAACCAAAGTGTATAAACTGCTATAAAGCCAATAAGAGACAACCAGAAGACTTTAAATATCGGACTGATCACAACGCTTTCTCTACAAACTGTCCCCTACTAAAAAATTACAAACGTCTTTTAGTTAGACAGACGCTGTACGAATAATGCTTCTGTCCCTCCCTTTCCTTGCTGCTGATCATATCATATTCACTACCAGTCAAGACTTCAACATTCTCCAAATAAATGCGCAAAGAAGTCGAGCGGCCTCTTCTCTAGTTATTAAAACTGCTAACGACTTAGATGTGGACCTCATACTAATTCAAGAGCCATACACCATTGGGAACCAGATCACTCGATTTGGGCAATGGAGAACATTATACAAACAGGAAGGGAAAGATAGGCCAAAATGTGGGGTAATAGTTAGGAACAGAGGCATCGGGGCTGCCCTAATCCCGGACCTCAGCTCGACTCGTATCACAACAGTAGCCCTCTTAAACGAGCCTCTGGAATATGTCATCTGTGTTTACTTTTCCCCATACGATGGGGACGAAGACTGTCTGCAAGAATTGGATAGAGTGGCTAGGGCCCTTAGGGGAAAAAACTTTATTATAGCAGGTGACATTAATGCAAAATCTCCTCTCTGGTATCATGAGGAGGAGGATGCCAGAGGTAGGATGGTAGAAGACCTCATGAATGAGTACGACCTCTTTTCTGCCAACACTTCCACTATCCCAACCTTCTTTACAGACCGTGCTAAGGGTTGGCCCGACGTTTGTCTGGCCCCCACTAGCATTGGTGGCCTATTTAACTTATGTGAAACACTACTGACAACATCCGCCAGCGACCACAGATATATCCTCTCGGCTATTCAGAAATCAGGCCATCCTCATAGTAACAACATGGAAAGTCAATACAGACGCAAAATAAACTGGGAGTATTATCGTCAATCCTTTGCTCAAAACTGGAGAAACCACACCTTCTCTCCCCTTACTGATATCCAAGCTATAGATAAATACGTCACCCACATCACTACATCTATGCAAACAGCGGTAACGCTGGCCTCTAAAGACACTACTAGAAGACCTTGCCGCACCCACTGGTGGACAGACTCCCTTGACAACGAGAAGAGAAGGATCAGAAAGCTACGACGGAAATGGACTAAAGCCCATAACAGCGTGAGGGCCGAACAACTCAGGGAAGAGTATAAGGAAGCCCTGAGGATATATAAAAACAACATCAACAAAGCCAGAACAATGGCGTGGAGAAACTTCTGCAGTAAGCACACCAGCAACCCGTGGGGGGATCCCTTCAAGGTTGCCTTTAATAAATACGGGAAGGCGGCCATTCCCCACATCACTACGAACGAGGACTCAAACAACAATAATTATAACATCCAAGACAATATTAAGAAACTCTTAGAGTTCCACTTCCCTGATGATAACCCCAATGAAGATAAGCAACACCACAAAGATATTCGTGCGGCAAATGACCTTCCTTATAGTGGCCCTGACGACAAGTGCTTCTCATTTCATGAGATAGGAAGGCCTATTTCGACCCTATATCAACAAAAAATCACCAGGGAGTGACAACATCACTGCGGAAATGGTAAAGCACGCCTACAAAGAGGTACCAATTGCCTTTGTGGTTCTCTTTAACGGGTGTCTCCTTACTGGTTATTTCCCTAGATGTTGGAAAACAGCTAACATCATCTTCATCCCTAAGACAAATAATCCGTCATCGACCAAAGATTACCGTCCCCTCAGCCTTCTACCAGTAATGGGGAAGGTCTTGGATGGCCTTCTTATTGACCGAATCAACTGGCACCTGGTTAAAAATAATCTAATGCACGAAAATCAGCACGGCTTCCGTCGGGGATGCTCAACTATCACCGCTATCCAAAGGGTAGTCAACTTTGTTGAGGATGCTTGGGATCAGGACCAGCATGCCCTTTTAATTGCCATTGATTTTCAAAAAGCTTTTGACCATCTCTGGTGGCCAAACATTCTAGAGAGGCTAAGGACTATAAATATCCCGACCAAAATTTATAATCTAATAAATAGTTATTTATCAGATAGAAAAGCTGGCTTTTTCTCAAATGGTCTGGACCTGGTTAAACAGGTTAATCGGGGATGCCCCCAAGGCTCCAGAAGTGGACCAGGGCTATGGAACCTGGTCTATGACGACCTTCTTTACTCCACCCATACCGGAGAGGATGCACAAGTCCAAGGGTTTGCTGATGATACCCTAATAATGTTAAGACACCGGAATTGTGCCACCCTCCAAAGAAAGGCTAATGATCTTCTAAAAACTGTATACAACTGGAGTGAGCAACATAAACTCCCCATAAATTTCTCCAAGTGTGAAGCACTTATTTGCACCAGAAGGTCATTGAGAAAACAACTTCAACGACCACTGAGTATCTACATCAATGGACAGAGAATAAAAATTAATTCACACTTAAAGTATCTTGGGGTCATTCTTGACCCTACCCTAAGCTGGGGCAAGCACATTGAACAGATCTGCCAAAAAGGGAAGCAGCAGGCTAACTGGCTGCACCATATTGCCAGAAACTCCTGGGGCATTAGCCCAAAAAATCGCACTCTGATTTATAAAGGTGCGGTGGAACCAGCTTTGCTGTATGCAGCCCAGATCTGGGGCAAGAGGGCCTCCATCGTCTACAACAAACGTCGGCTTTTATCAGTACAGAGGGGCTTTGCATTGCGCATCTGCAGGGCCTACCGGACTGCCCCTACGGACGCACTGTTAGTCCTGGCCAACCTGCTCCCCATTCACCTCAAGATTAAGTCCATTGTTTGGAAATGGAATATTCTAAACACTAATATGGAAAACCTCACGGACGATAAGTTGCAGAACCAAATTCGGCAAGGTGACTTCCCGCCGAACAGCCTTAGCCTCCTTAGTGACATAAGACTACACGGCATTGATAATTATATAACTGGCCTTGGGGCAATGCACCACCCTGCTCTCACTAACCAAATCAAGGTAGAAACCCTCGAAGAAGGCAAGGCTCAGTATAGATGGCATGTGTATACTGATGGCGCCAGGAACAATAATGGGACCGGAGCCGCTCTGGTAGTGTACGACACCTTGAACAACAAAGTCTTCCATGAGGAATACTTCAGGTTACACAGTCATTGCTCCAATAATCAGGCAGAGCTTCGGGCAATGGTCAGGGCCCTTGCCTTGATTACCAGGGGCATAAAGCATTACACTGGGGGTATAAAATTAATAACAGATAGCCGTTACGTAATCCAGACTATTAGAGGAAACAACAAAACGGTGGCAGATGGGATTAAAGCAAGGCACCTTGCCAACAATCTCAACAACTACAGCAACGTTACCCTTTGTTGGGTTCCCGGTCACCAAAACATCGAAGGAAATGAGCGGGCTGATTCCCTGGCCAAAAAGGCGGCTGGTTTGAAGCTAAATCCCACCTATGGACGTGTACCTATAACGCACATCAACACTTACATCCTCAAAAAATGCAAAGAGGCCTGGCAATCGGAATGGGAAGTCTCCACTACTGGCCGCACTACCTACCGCTTCCTACCCTCCATCCACAGACGCATCCTCCTGCATCATCTTCACCCCACCTTTGAGCTCTCCCAATGCCTCACAGGGCATGGGAACCTTCCGGCATATCTACACAGGTTCAAAAAACTTCCATCTCCTTACTGCCATTGTGACAACACTAGTATTGGGGATGTTTTCCACTATGTCTTTGACTGCCCGGACTTTGACCTCCAGCGTGGTCCTCTATGGATGCACTGCACCCTCAACGGCCAGCCATGGCCACCTCCAGCAGACTTTCTATGTGAGACTAAAGAAACCTTCACCGTGTTCAACAATTTTATAAACTCCTGCACCATCTTCCGTGGTTCCTCGCAGGGTTGCCCACCTACAGGCACTCCCCTGCCTGCCACCGGTCCATCTTAGGCTGGCCACCCATCCCCCCATCGGTTGGGCTCCACCTCTGTCTGCCATAGTCTGCGGGCCTAATCACTAGTTCGCAATTTCCTTCTAGCATCCAGCTATCATCTTCCGCAACTTGTCCAGCAGCAGTAACCTCTTCCAGCTTCCAGCAACCACAACTCACCGTGTTCGTCAACTACCCGCCAATAAGGACCATCTGACAGACTTTACAGCATCAACACCGCTTGCACAAGGCACCTCTGTATACTACCCAACTTTTTTGTAATACCCCACTTGAAATGTCTTTATTGTATAATTATACTTAGTACTGTACTCTTCCAAGCCAAATTGGCACCTTGTTTATATGTAAATGTTCCTTTATTTTCAATAAAAAAGTTACGTCCGTCCAGGAAATCCCAAACCCTTCCTTTCACCCTCTGCCTCTTCCACCCCCTCCCCCGCCTTTTTCCTCTTTCTCTCTAACCTACTTCTTCCCAACTTCCACCCTTTATCCTCACCTTTTCTAACTTTCCGGGCTAAGTCGAAAGACAGCCTGCTCATTCTATTCCTACTGAAGGGTTAGCAGGGTCCCCTCCTCTAGAAAAGGGTCCTGCCCAGTGTGTGTGTCCACTGAGCTTATAGATTGAAGAGACCTATTACTTTTCCCTTCAATTCCTTTAGTTTCTTTAAGTTTCCTTTACTAGCTGCTAGTGTTCTAAGTACTTGTTCAGAAAGGTTAGACCAGTCGTCTTGGTCAGCTACTCGGCAGAAGTCCTCAGTAAAAGGACAGTCAAGTACATAATGCTTCGCATCACTGCAAGGACACCCATAGGAGCAGCTACTATCTTGTCCGAATTTGGGCTTGAAATGGGGACACCTCCTGTGTCTGGTCAGTATTTGTGTCATAAGCCAATCACAACACATTGGAGCACCTCAGTGCAATGTGTTGTGCATGCCTCGCCCTCAGTACCCTACCTCTGATCTCCTGTACCAACTTGTACCCGTTGCTCAGGGCCTGAAGCAACAACTGGCTGTCTGAGTAAACTGTGACTAGCTCTGGACCCAGGTGTTGTAGGATTCACTAAGACGCCCCTTCCAGGGCCACCAGTTCCATTGGAACATGGACGCCTCCTCGTTCAGTCTGACTGTCAATTGAATTCTGTCAGAAAAGACACAGTTTGCAACACCTATTAAGCTATTGTCTTTAGAGCCATTGGTATATATTTCAACACTGTTGTCTGTTGGTTCACCGACATCCCAGTCTAGTCCTATCCTATGGGCAGGATGGACTCTTAGTATATCTGTCTGATGTCTAAGTCTGACTGGGTACATCTGATTACAATGCTTAGCCTCTATATCTTCCACAGTTGTTCTGTAGAAGGCTGCTTCCTGGTTGACTACCAGAGGCAATGACAGCAGCCTGGCCAAGACTAGTGCTGCCTCTGTAGACACAGTTCTGTATGCTTTTGTTACCAGCAGGGCAGCGGGCCTCTGAATCTTAAGCAGCATCCTGCTCATTTTGATGTTGGCAGAATCCTTCCACCATACACCACAGGCATAGTAGATAACATGTTCTATGTTCATCTTATAGATAGCTTCGAATCGCTTCTCTGCTAAGACTATAGTCTTGCCTAGCTAGTCTTGATAGTGCCACTATTGTCCTTTCTCGAACACTCTTCAAATGGGGTGTCCAGCATAGCATCTGGTTGATGATAACACTGAGGTACTTTAACTCATTCACCCTTCGGATGGTGCTGCCCCGGATTCAGTTATTGGTTGGTGTGCCAATACTCTTGTCTGGGCCACTGTCAGGGCCTCTGATTTCTCAGGGCTGAAGGACAGCTTATGCAGCTCTCCCCAGCAAATGAGTTGTTCTATTCCTTCATTGCTGCAAATCTCCATATCATGTCTACTAACACCTGCAACTATTAGCAACAGATCATCTGCATAGGCCTGCAGCTGGACATTGTCCAGAAGGATGAGCCTCAGCACTCAATGCTGTGTCTGCGCTGTACGCAGACACAGCATTGAGGATGAGCGCAGCAGACACAGCATTGAAGGTTGAGCGCTGAGGCTCATCCTTCTGGGGAAGCATTGAGCGCTGAGCGCAGACTATAGCGTTGAGCACTGAGGCTCATCCTCTAGAATAGGGTCTGCAAGACCCTATGCATGATCCCTGGGGACAACCCCTTTGCAGTTTCCTTACAAACCTGGCACTTGGTGTATTTTTATGGAGGGAATTAAATCAGCATTATATTCTACAAAGTACTTAAAAAACTTTACTTGATTGCTTCTTTTTCTTTTTTTGGTTCAATGGAATTAAACATAAAAATTGCTATGTAGGACTTATCATATGGGAACAGGTTTTGATTAATAAAATAGGTATAAGTCCACAGATAATGTTTCAAGATTTACAAATAAACAGTGCTATATCCAAAGTATTTGACATTGGATTTTCTCTGATAGCACACACAGAGATATTCTATCCCAAAAAATCTACTCAGTAGGTCAAATGTTGATGCAGTTGTGACCAGCCAAAGCTCTTGGACATATTTCCTTACGTTGCACAAAAATCACTCTTAAGAGTTTTGGTAAATCTTAATACACTTTTAATTCATCATTGCAAAATTTTTATTTAAGGCATTGTTATCCAAAATGTTAATGCTGCATTGTAATGTAATCTTTAAGATATTTTGAAAATTAAAAAAAAAAAGAAAAAGAAAAGAGTTAGAATTGCACAAGCAGTGAAAAATGCATTTAAAGTTTAAAATAATCTTCTAAACCAAGAATACAATTTCGAATTAGTTATAATGTGTTAAATTTCACAATTCTTCTGATTAAATAACATAGCTATATTAAGTAACAACAGCTGTTAAAAATATGTAAAAATTTTCTGTTCAACGCACTATAACCTTTTCTTACTAATTATGGCATTCGAGAAATGTACAGAATTTGACATGCTGCTTACTCGAGCGATACCAGTGCTTGGAACACACCTCTCCCACGGGTGATAATGCCGACAAGGAACCTCACAGTTCGCCACGCCCGTCACATTTAACCGTAGAGTGGTGCATACACAGATAGCCAGCAAGCATTGGGTACAGATAGTGTACAGGAGATGTCCCACAATTTTCAATATCCTATGGAATGAAAAAGACCCTCCAGATCGCACCAGGCTTCCTGGTGTTTATTCCATCCCTCTGAAAGATAACAGGGGGACAAAGACTCATTATACATCGGTTCTACCAAGCATTCCCTAAGTACCCGTATGAGAGAACACAACATGCGGATATCCAACATGGGTGGTTCACCACTGCATTTGCTATGTATGCATCTGATCTGGATGTCGAGGCGCAGTTTGATAGAGCTACAGTCATTGTCAGCACACCTACCAGGACCACCTTAAATGGCTAGAATCCATAGCCATTTACAAAGCTGGCCAAGTAGCCACATGCGTCAACCAGAAGGAGGAGCTAAATCTATTGCTGGCCTGGCAGTCCCTGTTAGATGCTGACCTGTGGCTACTTCCACCAGCTCACGATCGCACATGTCAAGTAAAACTGACTTCGTCGAAATAACATTCAATCCCGTTGAATTTCACACGCTTCGTTCTGAAGCATTCCTAAGCTAGTTGACCTGAGGAAGAACTGTGAGATAGTTTGAAAATGTTTGTGCTGAAAATGCTGTATATTTCTTATATGCGTTATGTGTTGGTAACAGGTTCAGGGAAGAGAAGAAGTGTACAAAAGCAAAAAAATCTAACAAGTAAGAGCTGTAATATCGAGGATTCAGATGATAAAGAATGTACAATATTTACCAAATCATCCAAATCATTTACCCAAGCAACGCCGGGCTCATTTGCTAGTCTATATATATAAAAGTTATTTTATAGATTACTAGCAGACCCCACCATGCGTTGTTGTGGCTCAAAATGTATCTATTATAAATTTATAACACTTCCCCCGTGGGGGGAATTTTTCGAAAAATTTCTTCTTAGTGTACTTTCTATTGACGTACCCTATTAAAACGCAATCAAAAATGCAAAAACCCACATCTAAAATAGTATAAATAGAAGCAGAGTTCTTTACCGTAAGCCTTAATCCTACCCATCTCCCTTCAGTGGGGTTGAATTTCAACATGTATATTATATAAAAACACGTGCGTATTCGAATGCAGCGTTGTGTCAA